CTGCGACTGTACCGGCGGCTGATTGAGTTGCGACTGTGGCATCTGCGGGGGATGCACGAGGTTGGCTTGGAGGCCGACCTGCGAGACCAATTGTTGATGGTTGCCATGTTGGTTTTGGTGCTGTTGGTGCTGAAGCATGTGCGGCTGGTGTTGTTGGAGCTGGAGCTGAGGATGTTGGTGCTGATGCTGATGCTGATGCGGAAGCTGATGCTGATGCTGATGGTGCTGGTGGAGCTGCTGTTGATGTTGGTGGTGCTGGTGCTGATGCTGATGTTGGTGCTGGTGCTGGTGCTGGTGCTGGTGCTGGTGGTGCACGAAACCGGCGGCGGCTGCAGCTGCGGCCGCGGCTCCGTTGGCCAGCATCAGCGGACCGAAAGGATGCTGGCTGAGGCTGCCTCGAAGGGCGTCCAAGTGACGCTCGCGTTTACGCCATTTTGCGCGTCGATTTTTAAACCAAACCTACCAGTTGGGCGTAATCAACACAATTACGAGGCGAGGAAAGATGAAAGAGGAAAAAGTAGAGGTCAACCAAGCTCTCGTATCTCTAGGCGCATAGACACACACACACACACACCCACACATTTGCATATATATTTAGGTTGACATTCGACATTAACTCGTCATTGTCCTCAATAACTTTACGAATAAAAATCGGCATTTGCCGGAGCTCTCAACTTACAATTATTAATATGATTTACTGGTCGTGTCGAGACTCTACTCAAATACGAAAAATAAGTAGCGTATTCGATTGTTATAGCAAATATACGTTTGCCTCATCGACAATCCCACCAAAGAATATGATGTGGTGAAAAAGGCCTGGCCTCGTGACTCAAGGCCACTCGTGGAAATGTGGCCGAGTCGTCAACGTGTCAAGCTGCCATTCTGCACTCTCACGGTTCGACTCCCGCTGGGAATGTGTTGATAAGATCGGAGCGAGGTGGAAACTGCAGTCCACAGTAACTACAGATTAAAGTTTGGAGTACTGAAAAATTTGCTCGTCAGAAGCTTAGAAATAAAGGATGTTGAGTTTGAGACTACCAGTAAATCAGTAATATGAGATGTATTCACCTTATTTCGTTTAAGATGATGAAGGACTGGTAGTACAATTTTCCCACAATGATATGAGTAGAGTTGACGTTTCCATTGAACTTCACATAGCCTTGATTTCCTAAAGTTGTTCTCATCAAGTCCTTTATCACCTTAAATGAAATAGAGTGAATTTATCAGATTATCCTTTTTGAGCAGAAGGTATCATCTCCTATCTTATGGGCTCAGGTAGGAGTCAAATTTCCCAAACTTCGACTCACTAAACAGGTCTCTAAAGTCTGGATTCTC